TAGAGAGTCCATGTTTGTTGCGATTTCCCTGGCTGGCACCGCATCTGCCAGTACAGTGAGAAGATGATCTTCATGGTGCTGTATATGCAGGATCATTCTGCGGACCAATGTTCTCCTTGCGCCATATATGGTGGCTCCCCTCGTGTTGATGGCAATACATCCCTGATGGTATAGTGGAATGATAGTTCCCTCTACTGTGGCCCTAAGCTTAAGCAATGCCGGCGGGAAATGAAATCCCTCCGTCCATTCTGGGAAGGTGGGCTTGACGTTTTCCTTGACTGTGTCCACCGGAAAGAAATGCAGCAAATAGCACTGTGCACGTTGCCCTTTGTAGGGAAATTGTACAATGAGGTCCAAGACTCCATAACGTATGTCACCATGGTTGAGCTCAAAACGTACGAAATTGGTGACATCGACATAAGTGCCGTCGTCTGCCAAAAGCAGGGGTTCTTGCTGTCGCTGCATGACTGGTCTATCAGACTGCTTTCGCGGCACTGCCACAGCGTGCGTAAGCGCAAACTGGGCTTTCAAACTGCAGAAACCGGTCAGCTGGTGACTCGTGGCTAAAGCTCTGAGCCAAAGGTCTGCAGACACCAAACTGCACAGCCGTGGTCAAGGAATTCTTTCCGAAAGCAAGGGAATTAGGACAACAGGTTCCCCGGGGATTACTGGACCGGGCATTTCTTAGGGTGCGCAAAAGCACGCTGAGGGGGCAGGTGTTCACTTGTCCCGTCTTCCCTCATGTGACGCTGACCGCGCCCGGGACCCAGCTGAAGGATGGCACAATTGTCTATCCGTTCGCATCAGGACATGAAGATGCTTTCCTCTCGTTGAGTCCTTTTTGTTGGAGATACAGCTGCGCAGCGCTATGTCCTGCATCAGCATTTGAAGAACCTTGGCCTAGCCGGACCGCCTGCTCCGATTCTGCACTGGGCAGGACATCTTGGGATAGGGCCACGCGACACCCATGTCCTCCCCTTTCGCTCACTCGCTGTGCTCCCTGCTGCTGAGTTGCTTGCCATCCCAGTGCCGGCCACTAGTTGGGCCTTTGAGGAGATGCCCATTGTGTCCCTCAGCGAGTGGGAAGAATACCGCAGGAGATCCACTTCCACAGTCCTTCTCACGACCACGAGTCCACTGTCCTGTGTTTATCGGTTGCTTTTAGAAGGACCTGGGGAATTCTTGCCAATCATTGTTTCCCTTTGGCAGCTGGTATGTTTGCTGCTAAGTAACCTGTTTAAGGGGCATTTGAGTTCCTTGCTACCCACGCACTCATCGCCAAGGCAACCAGCAGTGCTCCCTCTTTGCGATCAGGCCAGGGGGAACACACCAGCCCAGACTGTAGAGCTGAGCAGCAGCAGCCACCAGCCCAGCGCACAAAGCAGCAGTACTGAGCTGCGTGCGTCCCCCTCGGCAGCGAGAGATACCTGGCTGAAGGTGTGGCGGTTTCTACAAGAAGCGAACAGAAGGATACCCGTCAGCACCGTTGCTTGACCAAGGTATATCGGCCTACTGTGCTCATTCGTGGCTGTTTACCCAAGGGTTTCCAGACACCCTACTTGTCATAATTGAATTGTTGGCACAATTTTGCCCCCATTGATGAATGCGATCTTGTTGTACGGTGCAACGTTGCACGAGCCTTGGGCCAGATAGGCCCTGCGGCTGCTGAAGCTGTGCCCCAACTGATCAAGTCGCTGGCAGATGAAGCCAGTAGCTCACGAGCGAAGGCAGCATAGGCTTTGGGTAACATCGGCAGCTGCTAAGAGAAGCGCGAATGTGTCTATCGTGTGGAGCCGCCTTTGGCCCAATGCCCACAGATTGTTTTTGCTTTGAACCAAAATGGATGCTGCTGGTGTTTCGACTGACGGGAGAATGACCGCAGTTGGAGTGTATCGAGGGTAGAGGAACATGGTCTTGGAGGAGACCGAATTCTTCAATCCATTCCTAGTGGAGGATTCGGAGGTCGATATTCAAGAAAGGGGTTTGTGTAAGAGCCTCTTGTTAGATCTAGCCTCATCCATCTCAGTTCAAACTTGTTCAGCTTGCATGGAAGCTTTTGTGAAAACAAGTGGACCGGATGCTCGGCTCAGAGTCAAAAACCATGTAAAGAAGAAGTCCGGTCGCTTGGAGAACAGCTTTCCCTGGCAAGACATCTTCGATCCTGTTCACCCGACTCATAGAACTCAAAGTACATGAAGGCTCAGTGGATATAGTGACAGCCTACTGACCTACTGTGTACCAAGTCTGTTCAGGAGACAACCCGTTTTCAGATGTTGCCCATGGAAGTGGCCTTGGACTGCTTGCCAGCGAACCCATCCTCAGCATCATGCCAACTTGGCATCTCGGTTGATGATGGGAAGGCTTGGTTGGGCTGCCCTGCCTGCCGCATGATTTCTAGCATGCTGTTGATGTGTAAAGAGTTGAGGGCGGCTGAGCGAATCTGAGTGAAACACCAAGAGAAGGATTGCCTTGTTGGAGAATTGAGTCCCTTCCATTCTGCCTCTCTCTCTCTCTCTCTCACACTCAAAAATTCTATGTTTACATTGATGGAGGATAATTATCCACCGTGCTCACAATGTGGTGCCCCCCCCAGTTCTGAATGTTTGTTCACCAGTACACTAGGGTCATTTCAGCAACAAATGCAGCTGAGATGTTCCATGATGTTCTCGGATAGTGTTAATTCTTTGTAAGCAATCAACGGACTTCTTGTCACTTTGCCAGCACTACTTCAGGAGGAATACCGTTTTTTTCTTCTTACTGGGTCTTATAACGTCTATATGACATGTGGGTCAGCCGCGGTCGAAGTAAGAAGTCCAAGCCTCGCGTGGCCAGTGTGAGACGGTCAATCATCATGCGACAAAATTTACACCCGGGAGGATTAACATAGAACCTGAAAACCACTGGGTTGTAGAGGAAAGTAGTCTTTCAAAGGTGTACAACTTCAGGTTCCATGTGGACCATCTTCCCAGGTGTACAACAACTAAACAACTTCGGAAATTCGACTGTGTGAGGTGACACAATCCATGTTTTTTGCAGGATTCTACGGGGAAAGGGTTGTGAAATTTGGAACGTTCAAGAAGAACAACTCTTGCCCGAGTGATGTCGGGCTGGTTGCCGCCAAATCATTCACTTGGGGCCTTCCGCAAGTAAAACTAGTAAAACATCCCAGGACAAGGAAGAACAAAGCAGAAGTGCGTTTTTTGTTGAGCAGAAGTTCCTCTCATTGGTCGTCGAGGCATGGAACTCCGTGCTTGAATATGTTTTAAACATTAAAGGTGTTTCAGCCAAACAACGCCCTTTGGCCCTTTGAAAAGCTGTGGATTTCATGGGGAACTACAACCATGCAACGCTGGCCCAGTGTGCTCTCCAGTTTTTGGGGGCCTTCGATGCGGAGAGTTTGCACCAGGTTTTGGCCATAGTTTGTCATGGTTTTCCTCACTTTGCTTCTCCTCTCTCAATATCACTCCTTCCTATCACCAGTGACTACCTGTGCCCACATGTAGCCGCACGGCCCAACCCACAAGTCGATTGGGCTGTGCATATATATATATATATGTATTGCCTGAACAGATTTGCTCGGATCAAAGGAGTCAACAAAACCAACTCTTCTCATGCGCACATACGTATCTTTCACCATGGTTTCTCCCGAACAGAAGGTAAGGCTTGGTAAAAGATAGCTGTATGGGAGAGCCATAAGATCGCAGTTTGCAGTCAATTGGGGGGACTTGAGAGAACTCCCTAAAGCTATGCATGAACTATAGTAAAATCCTCTCGGGCCGAACAAATAACTTTGACCATCCCATGTATATGGCCTAGGGCCTACAGACGAAATGCGACCAGGTTTTCTGGTCGCGGATGATCCACACGCACTTGACCTAAGCGTTGATACTGAACGGCTTGAGCCAAGACCTGGTTTCCCATTCTACAATAATCCTCCCCAAACATCACCAATCAACCAATCATTGCCGTGGTGACGGGAGATGCTCCTTTCAACCCCCCCGTGACTCACACATCAGTATCACAGTTGTCTACTGAAACCGTGAATGACTCGACTCCGTTCGAGGCATGCAGTGTTGATCGCCAACAACGGTGATGACCTGGCGCATGCGGTTCGCGATGCCCAGCTGGTCGGCCAAGCGCTGTTGCGCTGCAACTTTTGCAGGAGGGAGGATTTGCGCATGGTCCTTGATCAAACGGGTGGCTGCTGTTGCAAAGATCGTTTCGATGACGTGGGTGCATGGGGGTCAAAGGTGCCTGCTAGTCGTGGATGGTCCTCTAGACTTCTTTCTATGTTTGTGCAACTGCAAATCACGTAGGACTCTGTTTGTTTTTGGGAATGGTGAGTTGCTTCTCCTACCAATGTGAGGGATGGGTTTTGGTTGGCCCATTCCACTTTTGCCTGAAGGGAAAGGGTGTCCGTTCGCTTGACCTTTTTCATCAAAGACTTTTGGTCTATTCCTATGGGTCAGGTGGTCGGACTGCTCCACGACTTGGGACTGGTGCATGACTGATTGAACTTTTGGATAGGCTCTTAGATGACGGCATACCCAACACCTCCCGGCTACAGAGTGTAGTAAATCTATGAACCTTTTTGACTTCAGGGTTGGACTACCGGAGTTGCACATGGCCCAGGTAATGAAATCAAGAGGGTTTTAAAGGAGGTGATTCACAACTTGGCGGCAGATGCTCAGCTCTTCGTTTGGTACTCTGGTCATGGCTATGGCAGGCTGACAGGTGGCTCGCTCCCTGAGAGTCTTCGGGGCATCATGAACAGGCGTTCACAAGAACCTGCTTCAAAGGATTACGATTACGTTTGTTCGATGTGTTATGCCGGGCTTCAAATGTGCTTCGCCTCCAAACGCACTCCAGAGAGCACGCGAGACTCCAGAGCTAAGTTCCAGGGGACCTTTCTCTTGCCAAAAGGAGAAATCGAGTTCCAACAAGAAGGAATCGTTGAAACGATCCGCGGCCTTTGGCTGGAAGATACCTTGTTTGGTATCATGGCAAGTGAGGAAAAGGAGCACCTGAGGCTTTGGTGTGTTGTGGCAGCCTGCAGGCCACAAGATGATGTTTGTACAAGCCGAAGGATGAGCAAAGAGCACAGGTACACGTTCAAGATGGAGCCGTTCGAGTATGTCCACAATGTTCAGTTGCTAAAGAAGCAGCGGTACCAATTCATGTATGCCTGCGACCTTGGGCAATCCATGTACGATGCCTCCATTTTTGCCCTGTCCCTTTGCTACAACATGGAATGCCAGCCACGATCTTCAGATGAATTGACGAGGAACTTAACAACTGACATTGGGTTGTTGTCCTTCGGTCATTTGCGCTCCCCGAAGGTTCTTGGAAATCTCATGAACCCACTTCAGAACACCAAACTAGCACAGAAGCAGACTAGAAAGGAGGTCCTCTATGACAGTGAATGGCTGGAGGCGATAGGACAGGCCCAGCCACTAGCGGATTACCTGCATTTTCTTGCTGATGACGAGATCTTCATGAACGAGTCAGATGAGGAAGACGATGAGGAAAAAGATGAGGAAAAAGATGAGGAAGAAGATGAGGAAGAAGAGGAGGAAAAGGAGTCTGAAGGTCTCCACGAAGACTCTATGCAGCATAATTACAATGAATATGAATCTGCCCTAGACAAGTCTGTAGAGATCATCACGAGCTTCAACAACTGTGATTCTCACTTTAAACCACTCGAACATCAAATTCCTCTTCTCAGTTGTCGCACACTGTGTGAAGTCATGAAAGTCTTGGCAGACCATCAAGCTCCATCCTCAAGTGCTCGAGGCTATGTTCACCCAACCAACTGGAAGCCCGAAGGTTGCGACGCTCAACATCTCATTGATGACCCGCGGTGTAAGCTGAATCTGCCAGAAGAGGTGATCCGCATCGTTGGCAATGCGGTCAGGAGGTTGAAGGATGGGATTGTGGAAACTTTTTCCTTTGTATCTACTTTTACTTCTACCCAATAAGACCACATGAGGGCCTGCTACCAAAAAAGGAGGGCTTTGGCCAGCCCACCCATCCCCTTGTAAGCATTGACAGGAAACTGGTCAGTGCGTCGACTGGAAAGGGGTCAGTGAATTGTCAACATAGGGTTTTGCCCGTGCTGGCAGTAGGCGGTCCTGGAAAAAGCAAAGCCGAGTCACTGAGGATGCTTTTGGAAGGGAGACGGACTCGGCAGGAAGCCTTGAAATCTACTGATGGCCGAACCCTAAGAGACTAATGTTCGAGAAGCGTGCGAGGAAGCTCTTTTTTGTTGACCGATCAGAATGGTTTTCGAACGTGGGGGGAGACGGTCAGGCATCTCAGAGGTAGTTGCCCTTTGAAGGGTTTTGTGACCCTGGTGGGCACTGAAGTTTAGGCTTGACCACACTGAATTGGTCATGACTATTACATTATCTATCATTATCTCAATTATCTCTTTGCGATCTCTTTGTGGTTGTGAGCCAATCTCCTCTGTTTACAGTTTACAGATGTTCGTCCCCATAAGCCCTAATTACCGAGGTTTTGAGACTTGACCCATTCCCTTGGAAGCAACCGGCAACAACCTCCAACTTGCATCAACTTGCGCTATTCTTTAGGGCGCCTGGCTATCACTGTCAGTCGACAGCGTCCCCTGCCACCAGGATCCAAACGCGTTTCGGAGTGGCCGATGGTGCTGGACTGACTCCAAGTGCGCGGTGTTCGGGCAGAAGGCAGCCAAGATGAACCCTCTTCGCTGGAGTAAAAGAATGACTTTGACCGACATGGCAGAAGATCTCCGGACATGTTGGCAGAAAGACTTGAGGGGTGTGACGATCCTCTTCAACAAGAACATTGTAAAGAGCTATGCAGACCAATATAATGCAATTGAAGAGTTGCACGAAGAGTTGCGTGACCTGAAGAGAAAGGCCGGAGCACTGGGAAATCTTTCATGTCCTGTTCGCGATTTGAGTACGGCATGACCGGCTCCAAGATAGATCGATCAAGTCTTTGCTGAGAAAGTCCTCCTCCTAGAGTACCTGAGGGAATTTGCAAGTAGCATAAGTTTCTCGAACATCTTGTGCATGTCTTTTGGGTGGAGCAGGCACCTACAAACGCATAGCTTTTGCAAACCAGAAGCAATTCCAGCCAACCCACACATGTTGCTGAGCCAGCTCGTTTTCAATGTCCAGAACATGTGTGCCAGACGAAATGCTATTTGTAGGCTACCATGCTGCCCTTCTGTCTATCAGGGTTTATAGTTTTTTCCCCTTTCTGAATGAGTAAGTGGCCAATGCAAGTGGTTGAATCGAATACCAGCCACTGCAAGCCCAGCACAAGAGCTGGGTTGCATGTTAAAAACTTAGTCCTTATCGACACCACTGCTGCAAATGGCTGACACCAGTTCGGTCGTACACTGAAAGCACGGGCACGTGACGTGAGAGATTGATAGCACCTGCCCTTGACGAGGATGAACCATTTCCTTCCGACACCTTCTTGAGGATGCTGCACCTTCGTGATTGATTCATAGCCCAGCTTTTGATTGACTTGTTTGGGTAAACTACTTTTGTCCTTCCAAGCAAGAAGTTTTTATTATATACTTTCTTTCTTTACTTGGTCATGCAATGCAAGGCAAGAATTGGGATCCTACTTTACAGTCAAGAAGTATGAAGCCAAAGTGCCGGTATGTAAGGAAAAAGATGCCCAACACTGCGTGAACGGCCTGAACACCTACTATTTTGTTTGTGAGCGAGTCTTTCTGGCAATAGGTTGTTAAATTAGATTGAAACTTTGCTTGCATCTCATTATAAGCTAGATGCCTTCTCGTAAAGCCTGTGCCACTGTTGCTAAGCCTATGCCGAAATTGATCAGAGACCACAATTGAATCCCTTTGGTTAGACTACTTTATGGCAAGGACACGCGGCATGCTCGTGTGAGTACTAAGGAGCGTTGGGCGACATTGAGGAGGCTGGTGCTGATCTCCAGAAAAAGCTAAAGGATCGGTGTGAGGAATTGTGTCCCTTGGTGGAATACCCATAGTCTTCGATCCAACATTGAAGACCACGTGCAGACGGTATGCAAAGACATACAATGATATCAAGAGGGGATGGGGTGTATGAGGGAAGATACAAGGTACTTAGCACTTAGCTATGGCTCCTTGGTGCATCCCCTTGAGGGTGATCGCCTTGATAGATGCACGGAAGCTCACAGCTCCAAAAAAACATTTTTTGAACATATTTTTCAGTGGGTGCCACTGGTGCAGTGTTGGACAGAGTTTTATCTTTTCATAGAAGAGCCTTGGATTCCAGTGCAGGTCCTTGTCGGCTTGGACGCGTCAGTTTTACCAAGACTCAAAAGTTGAGACTTATAAGTGATACAAGTGTTCTCCATGGTTTGCCCTTTCTCTTTGGGACCGTGGCTTAGTGTGTTTATTCCTGTGCTGGTATCAGAACCTGGATGAGGTCTCCGCAGGAGTGAATTGAAGGTGATTCGCAAGCAGATGCGTTTGTATGTGAGTGAAGGCAGCTTCTGGGCGATTGTGGTTTCTCCGGTGAAGTTGAATGAGGATGGATTGAAGTTGGTCCTTGAAGAGTTCGTCGACCAAAGGAGGTCCTCCTCTTTGGGGTGGGCATGCGCTGAAGCTCCATGGCAGGTGCCAGATTTTGCAGCGCCAGGATTTCAGAACGTGGTGAACCTGGTGGAAGGTCTACGTGCAGAAATCCATGTTCCAAGCTTGGTGCTGCTGAGAGGCTCCTTCTTCAAGGACCTTGCAAGGCAGCTCATCCAGAGAAATGGCGAAGAGGCTGCACAATGGCAGGTGCGTGTAGTCAACAACTACAGAGATGTGGAAGACCATGACTGGTGCCTCGCATGGGCGACCGAACATTTTTAGTGTTTTCTTGTTGCTTTCCCCCCTTGCTTGACCTTAAGGGGACGGAGGTGTCTCCTAATATAGGAGTATAGGAGCAATGTGATTGTACAAGTGGCCTGCAAGGTAAGCAGCTTGTGTTGGACCCTTTGCAAAAGTTTGACCTTCTTCCGATAACACCCAAGTCTCCATTTCCCTGCGTGATGAGAAGGTGACATGCTCAGCCATCATGATTTCTGTAAAGGGCCAGGCAACAAATAGTTTTATCATGTTTCGTTTGGCTTTTCGAGATTTCCAGAAATTTAACATATCTGCACATGAACAGGGCATTAGTCTTGCTCCTCCCAAACGCATCCACCTGCGCAGCCGCTGCAGCGAGCATCAGTCGTCAACAACCATGTCAAGTTGCCGAAATCGCTTGGCATACCCTGATTAGAAAAACAAATTGCATACCGGCATACATCGTGCACTCAAGCAGAAAAACCTTAAAACAACAGGTGCCAGGGCCCAAAGGTGTGTGTCATGAGTAGCAAGAGGGCTTGGCGATTGGAGGACCCAGATAGATCATTGTGTAAAGGAAGATCACTCTACATAGGTGAAACAGGTTTGATGTGTTTCGGTTGCAGAAGTCGTAGCTACCCATTCTGAGGTTGAACCCTCACTGCAACGTTGATCTGCACTTTGTGCAGAGCCTCCCCTGGCCGACATTGTATTGGGAGAAGCCCGAGCTATTGGAGCGATTGAAGACCTTTGCAGATCGCAGGCATCCTTGAACATGTTAAGTCATAAACAAGGAGGTTGCTTACTTGTTGCCAAGGTCTGCAAACGCATTACCGCAAACACACTGGAGGAGCTTATGGCAGAAATTAGGTTGCACGGTTGTGTGAGAGTGATATTGTAACTGTAGTTGTTCTTGTGGGTGGACTTTTCTGTGCCAACACTGTGTGTTGTGAGACCAGTTGATGCCCATATGACGAGCTTGCTTCCGTTCTCCAGAATTCCTTTCTGGCTTAGGCTTAGAGGCCAGTTGTTCTCTACTGATCACAAAAGGTAGCTTCAGTTACCTGAGTTCAATTAGCTTTAGCTACAGGGCAGGATCCTCCCACCCGCCCTAGTGGATCAACTCCACCCTGGGACGGGTGAATTTTCCTTCAATTGTACTGGCACTGTGGCTTCGTGTGATTGGATTCGTATCGAGCTTCTCCTCCCTCCTCGTCATTTGGCTCGTCATTTGGCTACTGCTGCTGCTGCTGCTGCTCTTCAAATTCCACGGATCTCTGCCTCTCTCTCTCTCTCTCCTCTCTTTTCTCTCACCTCTTTGAAAGTTGAACTTAATGACCTACCTTTCGTCCACCCCCTCCCACTCGAGTCTTTTTACGACTTTGGGCAGCCTGTCCCTCAACATATGATTGCGACAGGCTGGAGTAAAACTGCGAGTTCCACCATCCTCTTTGCAGGCCTCAGAGCCAAGTTCTGCATGCAGTTGCCTTCCTGATTCATGCCATCCAGAAAGATCCGGAGTGGTTGGGCATGCTACTGGGCAGTGAATGGCATCAGGGTGGAACGGGACTCACATTAAAACTTGTTTCAGGTTGCCGCATATACCACATCCCAAAATGGCAATGGCCAGTGTTGATGAGTAAGTAGCATCCATTGGGTTCATACAGAAAGATTGGGAGGACACTTCATCATTTCATCATGCAGTCTTGTTTGCTATACTGTTCAACGGATCTATATACTTGGATGGACCTCAAGCAATCCTCCTAGCACTCGAAGCTACAATGATTGATGCAGACAAGCAGAAACCGATGCCGCAAACTGAAAAGCACGGGTGCTTGACTAGATTCGAAGCATGAGGTTGTCGGCAGTCAAGGATTCTGTCTCTAGTATATGCATGTTTACAGGAGACTTGTGCTCGCATTGTTGCTGCTTCGGAAAAAAGGGTCGACTGCCCAAGGAGCCTGGACACCATGATGCAGGCATGGTCAAGTGCCCACGAGGAGAGTAGTGGTCGTTGTTGTGGCACGACGAATTGCAAGGCTTGAAGCAGCTGCCCTGAAATCAGTGACATTGTTCCTTCACGATTCAATGGGTTGCGGTCTTTGCTGTTCTCTCGTGCTTCCTATCCTGGTTGCAGACTCGGACGGGAGCTTTGAACAGGGGCATCTCAGATTGTTGCCCACATGCGAGTGAAACCGTTTTTCTAAACTTGGGGTCCTGGATGTTCAAAGTCTCAAAGAGGATTGCTCCCTGCAACCGTCAAGCTCAAAGGGCATTGGGTTTAGTTTCTACTATATAATCGCCTTGAGTCCAAGAACCAACAAAAACTTTGTCCAGAAAAGAGCAGAAACATTTCCTAGTCTTTGCAAATTCGATATTCAATGACCCCTTCAATGTTTCAGGCCGTGCCAATATGATTGATAGGTCGTAGTATCTGAGAATCTCCCAAAGCTGTAATAAACAGCAACCGGCTTTGAATGTGGACACTTTGCACCGAGTGCACAGACCACCGATCGCCCTGGGGGGTGCCAAGTGAGTTGCTACTGGGGGTGTCCGTGGGGCGCCCCCCTCGAACTCCCAACACCACCCCCTCAGACCACCCATTGTTGGGGAAACCCTTGACTGTTTGGGATTCAACGCTCCACCCTTGAGAGTGCGGTCTTCTTGAGCAGGTCCTGAGCGATACCGCTGCCGAGCCCAGTGAGGTCTTGAGGAAGGTGGTCAAGGCCGTCTCCAAAGCGATGTATCTATACGGGATCTATACTGACTACGAAGGGCTTCAACATGACGTCAGAACCAAGACCCAGAGAGACGTGTGTGAAGCGCAGCAATGTTGCAGTTACTGGATGTCGTTGGTGCAAAAGGGTGAAATGTGATTGAACTCAGACCCTGTAGGCCTGTTGTGGAGTTGCAGCACAGACACGTGGAGCTCTTAGATTTTCCTGTGGCCGACTGCTGACGACGGCTGAATGGATTGTTCTTTTGGTCGAGCCACTTCCCAGAAAGCCCGGGAACTTGCGATGTCGGCGTGGCAAGGCTGATGCAAGCGTTTGAAGTCTCGGCACTCTCCACGAAGCACTGCACGACCAGTTGGGTCCATTTACTTCTGACGCAGCTGCCAAGGTGCAGAGATCGATGAAGAAGGTGGGGGAACTGTGACCTCGTTGTTTGGACTTTGTTGAACCGGCTGGCTGGGCCTGCAATTGAGAGATCTGAAGTGGCAGCATTAGGTATTGCAGATGTTTCAGGACCTGGTCACACACCACCTCGAAGTAGAGATGGACATGCAGGGAAATCCTGTTGGAAAATCAGATCGCCTGAGGCCGGTCGGCGCTGCACCGCGCTGCCCTCAACGGAGAAATCGATGAGGTGGAGCACCTGCTGAGAGCAGGTCTTGACATCGAGGCCAAAGACAACGGCCGGAGTCCCGGAGCTCCGAGGGCCGCGGGACAGGGACAGTTCCGATTGGAGATGCGTTGGAAGAATGTGACAGCATACTCAGCTTAAATAACCCCTTCTAGTTGAACGAAGAGAACAGCTACATGCTGCCACTTCTTGCAAGATGTCACCTTTCAGGGCTTTGGATCCTTGCATGACTACAAAACGAGCACATCGGGAAATAGACACGACAAAAGAAATCGAAAGAAGCATCGCTTAAGTAGGCCACCATGTCTTTTTCCATCGTTTTCCTGTTTGTCTTGCCATCAAAACAAGACAGATGTGGCTGCACCATTCAAAGCTAATGAACCGCATTTTCTGTCTGCGATTTCTTGTTGATTGACTTTCCTGCAAAAAGGCCTTTGACTTCGCATGGCCGAGGTCAGAGAACACCGCTTTTTCTCGCCACGCGGAAGGGCCACCTCGCCGTGGTGGACCGGCTCGTGGCCGCCCGCGCGGCCGTCGAGGCGAGGGATGACCGCGGCCAGGGGCCCAAGTCTCAGGGTGACCGGAGAACGTCCATGAAACGCGCCCGCCAAAGGGATTTGAAACTTGACACCCCACCCAATCAAAACGGATTTGGAGGATTCGAGATTCTGATATGTTCTGGGTGGTGGATTGGGGCCCATGAAGGAAGTGGAAATTATGACAACGGGATTGATTCTATGCCACTGGTATGGACTGGTCCTAGCAGTTGTCAGCGACATGGAGCGATCTGGATATTATGTTGAATCAAGACAAAGAACTAAACATTTGAACACGAGGCCTTGAAGGTAATTTCCAACTATCAAACACACAATCGCAAAGCCCTCAGAATTTCCTCTGCTTCCTTTTCCGTCGCTGCCAATGCTCCACTCCCCGCGGCCTCGACCGGATTGATCCGCCCCGAGGCGTGACGCCCCTCAACATTGCGGCTGAAAAGGGCCATTGGGAGGTGGCGCAGCGGCTCATCGAGGCCAGGGCCGACCTCGAGGCCAAGGACGATGCTGGTCGGGGAGCCTGGGAAGGAGGTCTGTGGTGTCGAAGAAGGGGTGCAAAGCCGCACAGATGCAGGTTGTTAAACAAGAGCCCGGACATGGTTTCATCGGGTCGGAATGTGTCTAAGCTCCTTCGTGCAACTGCTTTGGTGAGAAAAAGGACTTCAGACACCACCAACTCACTGAAAGTCACGTCCTTCGAAGCAGCCCCAAAGCCTCAAAATTGAAATTCGACTCGTGCAACTTGCGGACTGGAAGATAGAGTAAAGATTGGATCACGGAAATCACTTGTAATCTCTTGCAATGGATTTGGGATCTTCGTCTGTTGATGAACCAAAATCAACCAGAGAATCTCGATGCCTTGAAACCTTCCTGCTGCGGCCAAAGCTCTGCTCCCTACGCTATAGCGAAGTTGACCGGAGAACCTCAAGAAGAGGGTCTGTTGTGGCAAGCAAAGAGAGCTGCAATGTTTATGTTGGACTTTGATTCTGTTTAAGGCCGGTCGGGGGGATGGGAGGGTGGCCAGTTCCACGGTGGTAAGAAGGGCGTTGCCCATGAAAGAGGAAGGGAGCCGGACATGCACGGTGACATGGGCAGTGTGCCGCAGATATGGTGAGTTTCCATTGAGAGCATGGAAAAGGGAACTGTGCGGTGTGTTTGTTGTAGGCTAGGAGACGAGGCATGCGCGGAGCGTTTCGACAGGGTAGAGCAAGTTGGGGGCTGCCTGTGTTTGATGAGGCGTGGAAGGGATATGTAGTGTTGTGTGACGTGAAGCTATAGGGGAAGTGAGCGGCGGGAGGTGGGGAGTGGGTTTGGTATGGGCGGAATATGAGTTGTGAGTGGCCGGCAGCACTTGCTAAGGCGAAGCGTGGTAGGGTTTCCAGTGGGGGCTAGTAGCAAAGCGGCCTTCTCCAAGCTCTCAGCAAACACATTAACGCGAGCAGAAAGGAGGGTTTGTGACGATTGCCATGCCAAAGAGCTAGAGCCGCTCTTTCGCTGCGCCCACTGCGAGGAGAAAAAACGCAAAGCCGCCTTTTCCAACCTGGCGACAGACACGTTCAGACGAGCTGCCAGGAGGGTCTGTGACGAGTGCAACGCAGAGGAGCGTTGCTACAGTTGCACAAGGTGTGGCAAAAGAAAAGTGAAGAGAGAATTCGCCTTGCTGACCTCAGATGCGTGGAAGAGGGTGGAAAGAAGGGTGCCGGGGCCCATCGACACACGGCCACGCAAAGAGGAGTCTGGCGGAGAATTTCGTGGACGGGGACACCGCGAAACGCTCGCGCACTGCCCAGTGCCCGGAAGTTGAGCATCAACCCAAGACATGGCCTCGAGCATGCGTGCAGCACATGACGGGCTCCCCTTCTTTCAACAACAGACGGGGAGCGAATGTGGAATGACAGCCCTAAACAATGCCCTGCAGGAAGCACGATACTGCGGAATCCATGCAAGCAGCAGCAGACGCCTACCTGCCCGCAATTGAAGGAATTGACGAGGACCGGCGAGCGCATTTCTGACACAGGATGGTACAGCGTCCAGGTGCTGTACACGGCCCTGTTCAGTGCCGGATACACTTTGGATATTGACCACACCCCTGCAAGCTTGGAGAACTGCATTGGATGCATCCAAAACTGGCAGAATGCGCACTGGGTGGCGGTTGGGGAAGAGATTTTTCTCTGTGATTCCTTGAAGCCGCGGCCTGAGAAGATATCTGCAGCCGCGCTGGCAGCGACGCTGCCGCGCTGCCCGACGTACGCCATCCGTGCATAGCTGCTCCTGGAAACCCCCCAGACGCGCGCCGTGCAGTGTCATTTCATCTCGCGCGACGCAGTCGCCAAAGGGAACACCTGCGAGAAAACCGGCCACGGAAGGGAGCTGCTGGGCCAGGAAGCTCGTGGCCGTGCGTGGGTGGGCCGCGGGTTTTTCCCGGACTTTCTTTAGTTTTTCGATATAATTCTGTCGTTGTCTAGGGCTCCGTGTTGTTTTTTGGGTTCCCTGATTTTCGAAGAAAAATGCTAACCCATTTGCCGTGCTCTGTTCTGCCTACTTTGGGGGCGCAGTGACTATGCCATCCACTTCTCTGGGGGTCAGCGCCTGCCAGGCGTTGGCCTGGTTGGGGACCCGGGGAGCTGCCCATGGTGTTGGGTACGTTCAGTCAGCCACAGAAGATGTTGCCCATATATACCCCCCTGCCAAGGGTTCAAAACAGGGTCCCGCAAAGGAGGGTGATGATAAGACCCCAGAAGGCGCTCGTAACCACAACGGGCGTGTTTTGTGACACATCCGTTCCTCTGTACACCACAGTTGTTTTGAAACCACTATAGGTTGCTGACGTGTGACGGTAGCACCCGCTTCGCACCTTGTGCGTTGTAATGTATGTCCCCTCACCAAGAATCCCCGTATATGTCCCCCTGTCCGGGCATCATCTATCGCCGAGGAGACCTCGCAGGCGAAACCGCTCGCTGGAACCAGCTCCCGCCAAGGCGGGTGACGCTGAAACCCCGGCAGGCGTGTTCCGAGGGTTCGCAACAGATGGAAGCAGTAGGCGGGTTAGCTTTTGTCGCTGGTGCATAGGACCCTAAGATGCAATATCGAGGACGCGTTGTGTTCTGCGTCCCGTGGCGAAGCAGGGCGCTGCCCATGGTATGGGGTAAATTCAGTCAGCGAAAGAGAACACGGCGCATGTAAGTGCCACAGTTGTGTTGAAACCGCTGTAGGTTGCCGACTCGTCGAAGCGGTAGGATGCAGTGTGTGCTGCGTCCCGTGACGGAGACGGGCGCTGCCCACGGTATTCGGTCAATGCCGTCCCGCGAAAGAGAGCGTGGGCTATGTACATCTCCCTGTTTGGGTACCATTTGTGGGCAAGGATCACTCACAGGCTAAGCCGCTGTTCAGAACCGGACGCCGCAAACAACTGTGATGAGAACCCCCCCCCAAGGGTTCAGCCAACCAAGAAGACAGAAGAGAGCACGGAGAATGGGTTAGCATTTTTGTAGGAAAATATGGGAACCCAAAAAGCAGTACGGAAGGACCGCTGTCCCGGCCAGGTGAGTTCCACCGGCGAGCTGGCAGCACGCCAGCACAGCGCTAGTGAAGAGCAGAAAAAGTTTGCAGAGCGCAGATAGGAAATCTTTAGAGACATGATATGTTCCTGCAGCGCCCAAGTAAGCAGGAGTAAAGCTTAGAACATCCTAGAAGTCCAGCGGAAAACGTTTGCAAATGGGGGAAAATAGGTTAGCTGCTTTCTTTACAGATATGGGAAAGAAAGACCCAACACCGAGCCTTTACAAGTACCTAGACACCAGAGGAAATGCTGGAAAGGCGTCTGAAAATCCTACAAAACCAGCGGAAAACGTTGCAAAATCTAGCGCAAACCATAGGCGCTAGCAGGAACCCGGCGCCCGGCAAACGCCTCGCCAAAACACATAAAAGGCATGAGTACTACAATGGGAGAAAATGGGTTAAATCTGGGAACCCAAAGACCTAGAGTAACCAGGCATCCTGTCAAAACCTTTGGCGTGAGGACAACAATGGAAAAATGGGTTAGCAATTTTCTTTACAAAAACCAACACGGGGCCTTTACAGATACCTAAATAGACCAGAGGAAATGCTGGAAAAGCCTTTGAAACTCCTGCAAACCCAGCGGAAAACTTGACAAACTCGAGCCTTTGCAAAGACCTAAAGTAACCAGGCATCCTGTCAAAACCTTTGGCGTGAGGACAACAATTGAAGAAAACGGGTTAGCAATTTTCTTTACAAAAACCAACACGGGACCTTTACAGATACCCAAATAAACCAGAGGAAATGCTGGAAAAGCCTTTGAAACTCCTACTAATCCAGCGGAAAACGGGACAAACCCTAGAAAAAGCAAGGGCATTCCTAAGTAAACGCTGCCAAAACCTTTGAAATCCTACAAATCCAACGCAAAACGTGACCAAATCTAGGAAAAACCAAGGGCGCTGGAAGGGGCCAGGCCGCGACCAGCCCGGGACTCGAGGCCGGTATCATTTATGGACCATGCTTATTTACCAGGCGTCCTGTCAAAACTCTTTGCACATGAAAAGAATGAGAACAACAACGGAAGAAAATGGATTAGCAATTTTCTTTGCTAATCTGGGAGCCCAAAAAGCAACACAGAGCCTTTACAAAGACCTAAAGTAACCAGGGATCCTGTCAAAGCCTTTGCAAAGCGCATGAAAGGCATGAGTACAACAATGGAATAAAATGGGTTAGCAATTTTCTAGGGAAATCTGGGAACCCAAAAACAAGAGGAAACGCTGGAAAATCCTTTGAACATCTTACAAATCCAGCGGAAAACGTAACAACATCTAGAAAAAACAAGAGCATTCCTAGGAAAATGCTGGAAAAGCCTTTGAAAATCCTACAAATCCAACGGAAAACGTGACAAAATCTAGGAAGAGTCAAGGGTATTGGCAGGGATCACGCCGCGACCGCCCCGGAATTCGAGCCCGGGACCATTTATGGACCGTGCTCATTTTCCCGCGCGGGTGGAGAGGGTGCCCCAAGATGTAATCAATTGGGATGGAGAAATCTTGGACAACTCTTGGAGAAATCTTTGCGAGATCTTGGAGAAATCTTGGCAGATTTCGGCAGATTTCGTCACTGCAACAAGGGTCCGGAGGGGTAGGGGAGGTAAGGCCAAGGCTAAGGACTAAGGCTAAGGATAAGGCTAAGTAAGGCTAAGGCTAAGGCTATCATCGACAGTCACGCCTCACCCCACGAGTGGGGTCGGCGGATTTTTTGAAGTGTCTAACTAAGCCTTGGTTGAAACACCGCGCTTGCGGTGCTGCTTCTCCAAGGGAGCAGTGAAGTTGGTGCAGATTCCCTGCTTGTTGAGCACCGCAAGTTGCTGCTGGACAGATCCTTTAAGGAGCTGAGCGAGAAGTGCCTTTTAATCTGTTGGAACCTGAAATGCAAGGAGAGGAAGAAGTTCGAGGGAGTATCTGACAATGCCCGCATCCCCTGTCGCATTCGGGTTTTTGAGAACGATCGCGACATCACGGAGATTTCAGATGAGAGGATTCGAATCCCAGAGGACATTTTCTCTCCAGATCAGTTTGGCCAACCGAACACGCCATGGAAGCAGAGGACTCCACGACAATTGTTCGCATACAACCAACAAGTCATCCAGAAGAAGCTGGAGATTGATGTTTTGAGGATCCGATGCATTTGCATCGCCTGTTGCAGAGTAGTGCGTGAATGTGATGCCTTGGATACCAAGGAGAAGCTGCACTTGGACATCTGGGAGTGCATCGCGAATGATCTTTCCGTGCCACTGCTTTATACTCCTCATGGTCCCAATCTGGATCTCCCAGATGATGCCAGGACAGTGTGCGCACTAGCCCACGGACCAGGCATGAACCATTTTGCGTCAGAGGTGCTGCCCAGATGCATAGAAACCATCAGAGATTCTTTGCAATTTGGAGCATTGCAGCAACTCCTTGAAGAGGGAGAAGCTGCCGGGAGGTTGTTTAACGGCAAATTCAGGACCAACATCCGTATTGGTCTTGGCCTTAAGGAATTGGGACATTTGACGGCTGTTCTGCAGCTATGGCCTCAGGGCTATCGATCGCCGAAGCTTCATTATGGAGGGTGTGCAGGCAGCGTCCGAGTGCTTTTTGGTGAAATTCATTGCCACTTTTACAAGACACTTCTTGATGAGAGCCCAATGGAGTTCCAGGATGGCGATTGTGGGCTCCAGCTCCCTCCAGGAAGGCACCAACAGCTAGTATTTCCAGCAGGGGAAACAACGTGGCTGAATCGACAGAATTGGTGGGTCCGTGAAACTTGGTGTGGAAGCGGTGATTTTGCCCTCGTCCTCCACCTCTACAAGAGTTGCACAGATGAGTTCGCATTCGTTAAGCCTGGGGAGGATGGAAGAGCCGTTCTGGAGAAGGGAGGACCCAAGAATGATTTTTTTTTGGAACCTTGACTTGCCAGACACGGATGAACGCCTTAGGGAAATCGGCGAGATAGTTGGGCCCAAGGACTTTGCGGAGATCGTGCTGAAGCCTCAGGCCGGCTTGGCATGTTTGCACACGCCTTGCAGAAGCACACTCAACAAACTGCAAGCCAATGCAAATGCAAATGCGAGGGTAGAAGCCAATTCAAAGTTTTAAGTGCTGTGCTTGCTTTTTCATCACTTGCCCTATTGCTAAACTTTGGCAACCTTCTCAGGTTTATGTCTATGTGGGACTGCTGAGTGGGCAAAGCGTTGCTTGTAGCTTTGCTGCAAGCACTTTTGGATTTGTAGTCTGAGGGCATGCAATGCTGGAAGTTTGTCTCCCCTTTGGGCATTCTGGACACTCATGTCTGGACACTGCATTGCGGTGTTCCAATCAATCCTCAAGCAGAACACTTTACAAACTTTAGTGACCGACCCCAGAACTCAACAATCTAAACCGTTGGCTCATTACAGTAAGGCGTGTGGGAACGAGGCCGCACAATCAAAGATTTGCAGAAGGAAGCCGAGTGACTTGAAAGCAACTGGTTGGCGATTTTGCGCTGGTGGGTACCTGTGATGGTGCGAAGGCGGTGGGATTCCATCTCACGCCCACCCCTCCTATGCCCTACCTTTGTAAGCCTGAGAGACCATCCGATGACAATCCCGGCCTAGGCAGAGGCTTGACGCCAAGATCCAGAAGCTCATCACACGCTCGGGCGAGACTCTGTGCATCATGCATGCTTCGAGTGGAGCTGGGCTGGGTTAGCCAGAAAGTGTCCGAACAAAAGTGCCACAATATTCAAATTGATGTGCCTGCATGAGTTGTAAACACTATGCGGGATGTTTGTCACCAATGGTTCAGAAGATCTCAAGTTTTCCTCATCGTAGCAAATCGCCTGAGCTTTGATGACCTGACAGTAAGGATGTTCAATGACAACATTCATCAACCCACCATGTGCCAACGTGGTTTCGGGGGGCTTTGAAACTGGAGACGGCCAGGCCAGAGACTTCAACACTCCTGGAAGCCGGTGTTGGCCACCAGCACTTCTTGACAGCGATTGCTACAGCCTCAGGGGGCGATTCGTCGCGGGGATCCGCATAGCGACGCATCCGGCTGGATCCGTGGAGATTGGGGCTCCCTCCAATGATTTCTTGTTGTCCCAGCTGCTATGAGCAAGACATGGCCATAAAAGTAAGACATACTTTAGAATCTAGAACACCTCCCTTGCTGACGTGGAAGACTCACTGTTGCCCTCGTCAATCGTGTTGTGGTTGTTCTGACCTGTCTTCTTGCCCTTTGCCTTGTTGCTGCTGCTCTTGTCCCTGCGTTTGCCACAGCACTGTATATCCAAATCCACCTAGTCTATCTAGTCGTTACTATATATACCTTTGTTATCCTTTGTTTGTCTCTTCGAGGCTTGTGCTGACCTATGCATCCCTATTTGTCTGAACCAAACATTTGGTAGCCTTAGAACTCTCCCCCAACCTTACAGCAGCCAAAAACCAGGCCTCAAGCCTGGGAGCAAGGTGGCATCTTGGCCGATGTGTGTGAGTGGAACCTGGCGTTTGTGTGGGTCAAGCAAACCTGCGTTTCAAAAGAAACAGAGATGAACACCCATAAGCGCTCATCTTGCATCAGAAACTTGCAGCTGGTTTCCTGGAGGCAGAGGTGGCAAAGGGGTTGACACCCTGTTTTCCAACCTCCCACAGAAGCACAGAAGTTTTTTTGTTTTGGCAGACTTGTCTATATGGAATCGAGTACGCCCCCATTCTTCCCACCATATGTGCCAAACAAAGCGTGCTTGAGTCGCTTGTTTTGGACGTTTGCATACTCAGAAGTAGATCCATGAACCTCCCCAACTCTCCCAGACCAGACCATCCAAGCTTTTGCCCTGGATCCGGTCTCCAGGTCAAATAGAACTTTCCATGACAAGTGAGGTCGGCTTTGGGATCCCTCAGGCTCTAAACTCCTTTGGTTCATCAAGACCCTACTAATTGGCACGAGTCAAAATACAGCTGTGCTTCGCGTTTGCGGTTTTCTTGGTACGGAAGCTCTCATAAGGCTTGCAACCCAGTTTTGCGGATTTGGAAGCAAGACAACACCTTGGTGCGAGATACTTTTTTTGCGATACCCGTAGACAATACATGTGGCTGCCCAAGCAAGTTTGCCAAGTAGATTTTTTTGCACTCATTCGCGGCAAAGCGTGTTTATTTCTATTTTTGAGAGTCTATTTCTGTCTTTGAACCCAGGGAAAGAATCAGCGCGTGAACATGCATTCATTTCAATTCACGTTCAGATGACTCAAATTTTCAGATCCCACCACATGCAGTGCTGACAGAGGCATGTCGTGTTGATCGCCAACAACAGCACAGCCCTGAAGCAGGCGGTTCAGGATGCAGAGCTGGTAGGGCGGGCTTTGCTGCGCTGCGGCTTCTGCAAAAGAGAACAGGATTTGCTCACGGTCTTCAACAAAACAGGTGGCCGTGCTGAAAGTACTGCTCAGAAGAGGAATTCGTTTCTCGAGGAATTGGTTTCTCGGAACAGTTGAACCTACAGCGTCCATTGAAAAGATTCATAGGGGTCACCCAATTGGAGATTTGACCATCAGCTGTACTCGATTGAGATATTTTAGGGAGTCTTCGTTTTCATCCGGCAGCCGGTAACACGTGGATGTGCAGATGCAGTTCCCAGAAGCTTGTTTCAAGTTGGTTTGGGAAACGAACAAACTCCTGCGCAAAGGAAGGAATCCATGGGCTTGGCACATGTTTTTCCTGTCTTTAGCAGCATGGCCAGTATTGCTATAGCCAGACTTGACAGAATTGGTCAGAGGTTTTCGCCCATGCCTGTCCACAATGGAAACATCTTTCGTTCGTTCCTCAATCGCAAGCCTCAGAGACACTTTGACAATTTGTCAGGTGATGAGATAAAGGAAACTCTGGAGCAACTGATTTGTCACCTACCTCAAGACGCTCAACTCTTCGTTTGGTTCTCTGGCAAATCCGGTGGTATGCTGCAAGAGAGTTTTCAGGAGACCCTTCTCGTGCCGGAAAGCCAAATTGACTGGAAAAATAATACCGCAATTGAAACGATCCGTGGCCTGTGGCTGGAAGATACCTTGTTTGGCATGATTGCACGTAAGGAGGGCCTGAAGCTTTGGTGTGTTGTCGCAGCATGCCGGCTGCTGGTTGAAGATCTGAGGGCACATTTGAGGGGAAGAGATCCTAGGTGCACCTTGCGGCTGGAAGAGATGCCACATGCTCACAATATTCGCTTGCTAAAGAAGCAACAGTACCAATTCTTGTATGCTTGTGACCTCGGGAAGGACATGTACGATTCATGCATTTTTGCCAAGTCCTTTTGCTACCAAATGGAATGCCAGCCTGGATATCTAGCTGACTTCAACAGCAATTTGGCAATGGACCTTGAGGTCATGTCCTTTGGGGATCTTCGAGAACCCAGGAGCGTTGGGAATCTTCGCAATCCTCTTGAGGATAACCGGCTCACACTACAGGCTGGCAGGAACATTCTCTGTGACAGGAAGTGGCTTGACACAATGAGACAGGAGAAACTGCTGGCATATCACTTGTGCTCCCTCGCGGATTATGAAACCTTCGAGGACACTCCGAGTGAGGAAGAGTATGCCAAAGACCTGGAGAGTCTGAGAGATTCTTATGATCAGTATGAGTCCGTGAGAGAAACAGCTATGAACATTATCCAGGGCTTTTACCAGTGTGCTCGTCACTTTGACGACTTTCGACATCAAATTTGGCTTCTAAGCTGTGAGAGCCTACACGAAGTCAAAGAAGTCCTGGCAAAACACCAGGCTGCGTTCGCAGTTGGCAGAGGCTGTCCTCGACCTCCAACGGACTGGAATCCTGGAGATCCTTCTGACGCTGAGCTTTTGATCAATGACCATCATGGTATGCTGAATCTGCCAGAGACGGTGATTCGTGTTATTGGCATGGGGGTCAGGAGATTGAAGAATGAGGATTGGGATTCCCCAACGCGGGTGTAGGGATTGCAGAGCATGAATGTTTTTTGTGTAAAGGAGGATCTTCCAAACATGTAGGTCACTACTGTATGTATCTTGCGGCCACGAACAGTTTGCCTTCAAAACGTGCCATTCAGTACTGAAACGGGGTCTGATCCAGAAGTAGAGCTTGATGAACCAAGCCTCGATATCCAAAGGAACGTGCTTCTCCTGATACAAGAGGTGTGGGCCCAGCTGGTGTGTTGAAGCTTCCTAGCTTGCTGCAACTACTTAGCACATTTGAGTGGAAGTACTACTGCAGCCTACTGAGCACCAACTTCTGAAAATGTCATGGGTGGGTTGATTTGAAAGATCTGACCCTGAGGACAAGCGCGAGGCATTTCCTGCCGAGTCTGTCTTGACGATGTTGCAGCTTTCTTGTTGAACAGTCAATTCTTTTTTTGAATGTGAGTGCCAAACAAAAATGCATTTTTGCAGTTGGTCCATTCACCAAGCAAGGCAAGAGCTGGGATTCTACTTCACAGCAACGATGTATGAGCACAAATTGTCAGCTTGCAAAGAAGATAAAGTCAGAAAGCGCCTGTACGACTTGCAAATGAACTACCTCGTTGGTGAAGGAGCCTTTGCTCCCACCAGCTCAGTCACTTTTGGTAGGATTGTCTGCGTCCTACAGAAAGGTATCACGGACAGATGTCTAGCGAGTTCCATGTGGCTCTAGGCGTTGGCTCAAAAATTAGGTGCTCAAACCTACTGGCTACAAGGAAACAACGCAAACACCCTCAGTCGGTCCCACGGTCGAACTATTTGAGCCATATCAATGTCGCTCTTCATCAATCCGCTTGGTCAAACCTTGCTGCAACTGGTGAGCCTCGCTTCTTCCAAGGAATGCTGGGTGTCACCTCGCCGAAGGTCGCAGAGAGGGTGCTGATGGACCGGTGCGAGAAATTATGTACCTTGGAGCCTGCTTTGGTCACTTGAATTTCTCACTCAAGTCCACAGTCATCAGACGTCATGACCTAAGCCATACACAGCTTGCATGAACTGGGGAGAATACATATAGAAATACACGATATGGAAAGGAGGTGGGCCCTAGGTGGAGAGGAGACACGGTAGCTGAGAATAACAAACAACATTGAACATGCATTTCTGTGAAAGAGTTTCAAGGTGAATCATAGGTAACCTTCTGCAGGGCAGTTTGTACAGTTGACTTGTATGCAGCCCTTTTGGATTACGGAAAAAGGTTGCATGGTAGCGGAGCTAGGATAAGGGCAACCACCTTTGAGCTCCAGAGGAAAAGCCCCTAGGTGACTGGGATTCCGGGTGCGATTTCGAGCCATAGATTTGGGCCTTTGGAACCCAAATATCTGGACTGGTGATACATTGTTGTGAGCTACACTCTGTGCCCCGTACATTCTGTCAGAAAGACAGCAGTGTGCAGTGGAGATGGAGGAGATCAGAGGAATCCTCAATGTCATAGCACAGAGCACGCGAGCAACAACATCAGCAGCTGAGGCAGTAAAGAAAGCAGATGAAGACAAGAAGTCAGCAACAACTGGTTGGTCAAAGTTGATAGCAGAGCCCAACATCTTTGACTACAGGTCACAAAAAGAAGAGAGCAAAGCATTCAGAGAGTGGTCATGGATATTTGATAGGTGTTTGAGCTCAGTGGATGAGGCTTACATGAAGGACTTGAAGGAGATTCATGACAAGCCAAACGAGAAGTTTGACATGGACTTGGCTGGTGGCAAAGAGAAGTCCAGGGGCATCAAGCTCTGAGGATTGTTAGCTTCATTGATGAGGGAAGAGCACTGCAATTGGTGAAAGCTGTGGAGGTCTCCATTGGACTTGATGCCTGGAGGATTTTGAACAAAGCTTTGAAACCTACTTCAACAGCTACTAGGTGGCCAGCATTTTCAAAGAACAGTGCACTACAACCTCAGCTTTTGAAGCTTGAAGAAGTTTTTGATGAGACGGTCAAGGCAGGGATGAACTCAAGACGAGTTGAAATTTGCGGTTCTTTTGAGATGTAGGTGGGCAGCTCAAATCATTCTTGAATTTGACAACTAATGTTCAATACCCAACTTTGAGGGAACACGTGTTGCAGTGGGATCGTTCTCAGCAGAAGTGGGCTACTTCCATGGTGGCAAGTATAGCAATACAGACTATGAAGGACTCATGCCAGTGGAAATCGATCAAGTGCAAGATGCCAAAGGAAAAGTTAAGAAGGGCAAAAATGATCATCAAATGGGCAAAGGTAAAGATGCCAAAGGTAAGGGAAAGAAAGGAAAGGAGATCAGAAAGGAACAGAAGGTGATCACAAGGGCAAAGATAAAGGAAAAGACCAAAAAGGAAAAAAGATGTGGCAACGTGCTACGCTTGTGGAAAGCCAGGATATCTTGCTTGAGATTGTTGGAGAAACAAGTTTCGACAGGTTGCAAGTGATCCAGCAGCCCCTTCATCTTCAGGAGGAGCATCAGTGACTACTCACACAGTTGGTCAACAACATGCCAATGTTAGCCAGCAGAGTAGGTCAGCAGAAACCAAACCAGTGGTCAGAAAAGAGGGGTGATGAGGTAGAAGATCATGGAATTCGAGTGGTTCACGTCTACATTGGAGATGATCATGGTGACGATGATGAGCCCGAGATGGAAGATTGCAGGGTGACCGACATCTCAGATGATGAACTGATGGTGAGGAGATTTGGGGAAAAGCATGAGGATGTGGCCATCATTGTTGACTGTGGAGCTGATGTAATATGTTCCCTTTGAGTATGGCAAATCATGGGGAAGGAGAAAAGGAATAGGACGATTTTCAGTTCAAAAGTGAATCAGCCCATACTTTGTTATGGAAGGCTGATGGAGCAAGGTTGGGAAATCAATAGCGGAGAGCAAATGTTGGAGAATGGTGACTTGAAGGTACCGCCCAACTTGCAAAATCGCTCTTTGACAGTTCAAGGCCGCGTTAGAGTCATTAGAGATGAAGATGAAAACTGCTTGGAGGTGCAAGTGCCTGAAGCTTTGGAAAAGGCAGCAGGTTGGTGATCCAATGAGCATGGACTGCCAGCTGGAAGCTTATTGACTTCAAGATTTGTTGATCCCACATTCGTTCCAGAAGTGGAAGAGTCACCAGAGTTGATGAGAACCACTTTGGCGAAAAGAAAAGGTCGATGGTTAATGCCTGAGTATTGTGAAAGCATGATGAAAAAGCAGAAACTTGATGAGCAATTCTTTGATGATGGTGCAGTCATTCCTTCGATCACAATCTTCAGCTATGAGCCAGCACCAGCAGAAGACATGGGATTCTTTGCACCAGGGTACAAGAAGCTTGATAACAGAGATGAAAGAAAGAACGAAAGAAAGAAAGACATAAAGACAGAAAGAAAGAAAGAAAAGAAAAGAAAAGAACAGAACAGGGAGGAGAAGAAATAACAAAAGAAAGAAAGAAAGAAAGAAAAGAACAGAACAGAAAAGGAAAGAAAGAAAGAAAGAAGTGGGGCAGGCAATCGAAGAGATTACCCCTACTCCAGCGGAGAAGGAGGTACAAGGTCAAAAAGAAATGTGAACTACTGTTGAGCCCAATGGATGTAGACAAGGTCTTGGTGAAGGGAGTAGAGTTGACTCAAGATTCTACTGTAGCAACTTTGAGGGGAGCGTGTTCATTTCTCAGCATTTCAGGAAGTGGCTCTAGCTAAAGGTCTACGCAAAGATCCTCGATCGCAACAAACAGAGGGAACTCTTGAATGCCAAAAGCTTGGTGAGTGAAACAATAGCTCAAGAGACAAGATAGGCATGGGGACAAAGTGTGGCAAAGATGCCAGACGAAGTCACTCAGGCAAGGCGCAGGTTGACCCATGTGTCAATTGGTGTAAGGAGTGCATTGAGCATCGAGCGCGTCCAGGTCGCCGTGAGAGAACAGATGGCGTGAAGTGAGCTTTGACTCGGAGACAAAGTCAGCAAGAGCAGTATGTTGGCTAGTTGCAGTTGACAGCCAACTGGATACATTCGTGTTGTGGCATTAGGAAGCAAGCGTCAATTTCGCCTAATTGTGCAAGAGTCGATAAACTTTAGTAAATGTTCGGGTATTCAGCAATCACCGACAGGAGTGACAATGAACCCGCAACAAGACAGATGCTAAAGATGTTGATCAACGCTCGCCACAGCCTAGGACTCACTACAAGAATGACTACTGCAAAGCGTGGAGATCTCTCATTTCTGTCAGAGAATGCAGTTGACAGGGTGAGAGAGCTTGCAAGAAGTTTCATTGAAGGTGTCAAGGCTTGGTGTCAAGATAGGGTCAGATCATGCAGGTGCTGAACAGATTTCAGCCAGTGAAGGGTGCAACTCCCTATGAGCTTGTCTATGGCAAGAACTACAAAGCACATTTGGCTGAGTATGGTGAACCAGTTCATGGTTACAAGAGTCTCAACAAAGGAGAAGCGAGATTGCATGTATGCTTGTCCTTGAGAAAAGTTGAAAGACGAGACGGACGCTTATGTGTTGACAGATGGTGTGCAGGTAGTGCCAAGCAAATGCGCCAGAAGAACAGATCAAGATTGGTCCAAATACTTGCCAACCTACAAAAGCCCCCATGCGTATTCATGGGAATATCAGACCACTTTGGAGCAAAGAGGAGAGCAGAAGCATTGCCGTCAGAGTGGGCAGACATTCCTCGAGAGTATGACATGTTGAAGTTCAAAGGTGAAGATGCAGAAGCAGCTCTGAAGGAGGAAGTATTTCCGAGAAAGAGGAAGCACGATTCCCAGAACCAATGCCGATTCCAGCCCCGCTGGAAATCCTTGTGGAAGCAATGAAAAGAGATGGAGGTGAAAGAAATTAAGTGGAGAAGAGACACCAAGTAAGAGGCACAAAGTTCTCTTTGCAGATGAGAAAACGCTAGAGAAGGTGAAGGCGTGTCCATCTACATCATTGCCAGCAGGACAACCCAATCCAGTTACTCTTCTGCTATCTTCATTGAGACCACCATCAGCGCCTTCAAGACCAAGGGAAGCCTTTGAGTTGTTTGAAGAGGAAAGCGCTCTGAAGCTCAGGCCATCAGATGATTCCAGCAAGGAGGCCCAGATCAACTTGGTAAACGTTGCAGGACAAGATCTTTACCGGGTAGACTAAGAGCTATCCCCAGTTGCAGAAGAAATTGATGAAGAAGACTGGGAATACACAATGAAAAAGAGGAAGATGAAGTGAATGGACCTGAATGCTTATGCCATGATGGAGAGCATGAACCAGAAGGAGATCCAGAAAAATGGGTAGACCGAGTAGCTGATGAAGTTGAAGAGAAGAGGTTGCAGAAGATGCAAGTGCTAGAGAAACCAGAAGGTAAAGCAGAAGGAATCAGTTACCTGACAACGGGCAATGTGTATGACTGGAGAAAGAAGCCTGATCACCATGGAGATGGAACAACAACCAAAAGGTGGAAGAGAAGATCAAGACTAGTTGCAAGAGAACTTGCTTTCGCTGAAGGAAAGAGAGATGACGTTTTCACACCAGCGACTTCAGGACATGTACTGAAGCTTCTACCCACAATATTCTTGCAGAGAGTCAGTGAGGAGGAAGAAGCAAGAGAGGGAGAAGGAGCATTTTCCGAGATACTAGGATGTCTTGATGTGAAAGATGCATTTTTGCAGGTTCAACAGGAGAAACCATTGAAAGTGGACTTGAGAGGAGAAGAACCCTTGGTGAAAAGAAACTTACCTGGACAAAGAGTTGGAGCAAAAGCATGGTTTGACTTTTCACAGAGTACCTCACCGAGGAACTCAAGTACGGGTTCAGTGCTGAGTGTCCACGCCTGGGAAGACATGAGAAGAGTATCATTTTGATCCATGTGGGCGACTTGGTTTTCACAGGTTGTTCAAAGTATATCAATGAAATCTTTCTTCCAAAGGTTCAAGACAGGCTTGACGCCCGTGTGAGCAAAATTGAGAAGACTGGTGATGAGTTCAACTTCCTGGTTTGAAAGCGCAAACTAGAGAAAGATGGACTATGGATCCGGCCAGGCAACTGTGTCCAGCAGATGCTGAACGCTTATGAAGAGCAGATTGGGAAGATCAAGCTTCAGGAATTGCCATCAGACCGTTCATTTCAGATGGAATACAATCCAGAGGTCTTGCGTGAGCGAGAAAAGGTTAGCCTTTTCAGAAGCATTGTTGGATCAGGTATCTGCGTATGTCAAGAGAGGTACGGTGTGGCAGATACAGTGAAGCGATTGGCCCCAAGAATGTCAAACCCAACACCTATGTCATTTCACCGCTTCAAGAATTTCCTGGAATACAGGAATTCTATTGTCTAGTAGTTGATTTTCCACAGGCAGGAGAAGGCTATGTCAAGAAAGGAGGAAGCTATTGGTGCTTGGAGACATTCTCAAACCAGACTGGAGTGGAAACAAAGCCGCAGAATTAACTTCAGGAGGATTCCATGCATTGAGCAGTTGTCCGTTGTTCAACAGCAGCAGGACACAGACGATCATTAGCTTATCTTCATGTGAAGCAGAGTGGCGCGCAATAGTTTCTTCAGCCTCAGATGTCAGGTGGAATATATATATATACACTGTATATATATGTATTCGCGCAGTTCTTGAGTTTGCGCTTGGGACCAAGGTGGGCCATTATGTCTTCACAGATTCCTCAAGTGCGCGCCAATTTGTGAGAAGAGAGGAGTTGGAAAAGTGAGACATCTAGATGGAAAGTCTGTATGGATTCAGAACAGAAAAGATTTCAATATGGTGCAAGTGCCAACAGATAGCAACATTTGGCAGGTAGAAGGTGATAACAAAAGGATAGACAAGCTGCATGATTACACCAGCGGGGTTCCTAGTGGATTGATTCCCAATGGAGGCTTTGTAGAACAAGAAGCGCCAAATACTCTTGAGATAATCAGCTATGACATTATGGGTGAGATGAACGCAGCAAATTTCTTAGCAAGAAGGAGCTTGGAAGATATGAGAACAACAGAAGGACGATATCGTGGTCATCAGGTGATGCTGAAAGCAGCCAAAGAAGGAGAAGTTCCCACAGAAGGACCATTGACAAGAAGATTCAGACCAGGAAATAGGGAACCAACTTTTAGGGCAGAATAATATATGAGAGGGGACAGGCAATACTAATATGTGGTCGACTCTTGCAGGAGGTTGAGCAACTGAAAGAAACACAAGAGACTTTGCTAGGGAGAGGAAAACATAACAGAGCAGAGGCAATGAGCTATGAAATACTGTAGATCGTTATGAAAGAATACTTGAACTAGCAGAGATGAAAAGAGACCACCCGGAAAGGATGCAACCAGATATCTCCAGGAACCCTGTTCTTGAGAGGATGAATCAAACAGATGAAGAACGATATGGATAGTCGGATAGAGAGAACGATGGTGGCAGAGTGAGCTAAAATAGAAATTCGAGCGCTCACACTACCAAGAAGGAGTGTGAAAGAGTTTCAAGGTAAATCATAAGTAACCTGGTGCAGGACAGTTTGTACAGTTGACTTGTATGCAGCCCTTCTGGATTAAGGAATGATTTCAATTTCTCATGTTTATTCTGCTAGTCCTGACGTCCATATGCTGGCCTTCGCTAAATAATCCTTGGTAGTTTCCAATGTGTCAGCATGATATCAGAACAGCACTGTAGGTAGACTGATGGCTCTTTGTATGTGAAGAGACGCAAGAACATGCCTTGTGAATGGTTTCTTTGGAGGCAACCGACCATGCAGGAACCCAAATCCATGCTGGACTCCTTTTTAAAGCACACCAGTTCAGAGGAACCTCCATAGTCTCCAGCTTTGAGGGAAGTTCTCAAATCCCAAAAATTGTTGAACCTCGATGCTTGATCCACCAAAGGCTAAAAATCAGAAAACGTTTGACACTGATGACATGTGGGTCCTTGAATGTTTGACAATTTGTTTGGATTCAGATGTTGGTGGATCGCGATTTCAAGAGGTCTGAGCAAGGACGAGATGGAGGTGATTCAGCAAGAGATGCGCTTCAGGGAAACAGGTGGTGGGCAACACAACGAACCTGGGGAATTTGCTGTTCTCATGGATCAAAACTGATCAACGAGACTTCGAGCAATCAAGGTGCTCATATTTTTGGGATTGGTGCCTGCTGAAGCTCTGTGCCAGGTGCCACCCGTTGCTCCATTGGGTGTTGGGACATTCTCAGGTTGCTGCAGCCGTGACGAAGGCAACAGCGAGTGAAGATTCATCCGAGCGCCAAAAACGCTCTGGTGCGAAGCAACAATAAAAGATCGTGCAAACAATGATTTGTCGGCAATCGGCTGACGAGATTGGCATAACATCCTCCATGCCAAGTACCAGTCTAAGTAACAGTTGAACATCGGCTGGCTGCAACTCGATTAATGTCCCGGCACATTGAGAGCCTTTCTAGGCGATTCCCCACGGGTGCAGGATATGCGGATCCCAACCACATGCGAGGCCCCTCGGGACCATGATTGGCGGACCTGGGAAAAAGATTGCGGACACGGCTGAACTTGGCGGTTCATGTCCAGCTGGTTTATGCCTAATTTCCATTGGACTGACACCCATTTCAGTCACCTGTTTGTTCTTCGTTTTGCTTTTGACTGCTGCAGGCCCGGCTGTGAGTCGGAGCAGCCAAAAGATGCTTTTTAAAGCAATGCAGCGACATTGTCAATTGACGCACAAACAGATACGACGTGATATCTCATCGTGTTTGCACATGTTGGCAACCATCATCATCTCGTGCCGATGCCCGAGCTAGAAATTGTAGACGAGGGTTTTGCCAATGATTACCATCAAAGTTTCTTCCAAGACGCATAGCTGGCCTGTGAGTTCCTAGTCGCCATGGTCAGGAAGCATCTTGGCAGACTTGGCATGGGAGGCTTCAGCAGTCTCTGGGATTTGTCACATATACCCTGACCAGAGTTTGGCAGAGGAAAACCCATTCCAGTGACGCGCCCAGGTAGTCTTCAGTATATTCGGGTAAATGAAGTGATTTGCTGGGGGACGGCAGTTCGCACGTCTCAAAGTTTCCAGCCACCATTGCGGATCCTGCGATGAGTAGACCCGTCCCGGGCCTTTTGCAGATACACTTCCACGCAGGTTCTATAGGCTTGATGCCTTGAACTGAATGCGTCGAGATGAACTATTGTTCCACAGGGGTTCTAGTCAACAGATGACCTAGGCCTAGAGTTTGCTCCTGCCCCTGCCATATGAGGACTTGATGAAAACAGGACATGGGAAATTCAGGATTCCTTGTAGAGGAGGATGGATGCCCTGGAAAAAGTCGACCCAGGTCCCCTCTCGACGCATCGTCTTCCGGCTCAGCGGGACTCTGTGTAAGTCTCAGCCATCCCCTCCTCCCTCAGCCTCAGGTCCTCTTCGCGCCAACGAGCGCCGCGGTCCTCACGGCGCCCGTTGTGGCAGCACGGCGATGGTTGTGGCGGATGGATGTGCTTTTGGCAGGTCGCAACTCTCACGATGGGGAAGTAAAGATGCAGCAGATCAATGTGGACGCTTTCTAAAACCGTGATTCTAGTCTAGTCCCATGCCCCTCAATAGTGACACTTTGGCGAGGGCAGCAACAGCCAGGCCCCTACAAATCCAGTTGCTTTTGCTGTTGGTGAAGTTTCTTAATGAATTACTGCGTGATGTCTTTGTGTTGGGGTTGGGGTGGGGGATGAGGTGCCTTTCCAAGCAACAAGCTTTGTTTTCATGATGTTGAGGTTACACATCAACTCTTACATCCAACAACCTTCGTCGAACAAACATGTCCGTTTCTCAAACGCTCGGCAAACCTGGGCTGTATACCATTGTCAATCCCGCATGCGATCCCATCAGGCTCCACCATGGATATGTTTCTCCGAAAGCAGTACCTTGATAAACTGCTTCTTCCAATTTTTTTGAGACAGATGACTGAGGCACGCGATGTTGATTGCGAGCACCCGGAACATGCTCAATCCGGAGGAACCAGACCTAAAGAGTCCACAGGAGGATGTCAATTTGCTGAAACGAAGCCTCCTGCGTAGTGGCTTCTGCGAAAAAGACGAGCACGTGCACATCATAGGCCCAGGCAGCTTTGCTGAAAGATGTTTTAGTGTGAGTTTGCAATTTGATGTTTCTCCAATGGAAGCGGTAAGCTTGGAAAGAGACCCCACCTGGGGCAAAGGAAGGACCACACTCTAATCTGCGGATTGGTGGCACCGGGTCCCGCAAGCTTCAAATTCGGTGCAATCTTTCCGACACTCCCCTTCAGCACTCCGCCGGAAGGATGCACCTCCCTCTGAGAAACTCGGTCTTTGTGCTTGGTCGACGAACACCCGAAATAGCGACCTTTCTTCTTGAGGCTTGAACTGTGCTCTTCTCAAACTGTCCCTCCACCGTCTCAGCACCTCCAACATTTCGTTGAGGCTCCTGGAGGTCTTAGGCTCCACCAGCTGTCTCAAGAGCCTCGAGCGCTCTGCCACTCTTCGAGGCTGATACCTCCGAAAGAGGGCACAGAGAACATCCACAGAACTCGAAGACCGACTCGCCAGGATTCTGAGTCTTCCGGGACAGGAGGTCCTCTAGCATTTGTCTTGAGGCAATAAGACGAGCCCAACCACTAGCAGCTCTTTTGTAAAACCTCGCTGATTGTGAGACCTTCGTTGAGGAAGAGGTTTGGGAAGAGGCAGATTTGGATGCTTGCGACTATGAACAGTATGCTCAGTATGAAGCAGTCCGAGACAAGGCTGTGGAGATCATCGAGGAGTTTTACCCCTGTGGTGCGGACTTTAAAGGGCTTGAGCATCAAATTGAGCTTCTAAGTTGTTACGACTTGGATGAAGTCATGGATGTCCTGACAGCCTACAAGGACGCATCTTCAAGCGGGGCAGCGTATCCTCCCCACCCAACCAAATGGATTCCGGACGAGGATGCTACTGCTGAAGATCTCATCCATGACCGCAAGACCATACTGAATCTCCCACCTGAAGTGATCTCTGTCCTTAGCCATGCTGTTGGGAGGCTGGAGGACACAGGGTTAGGATTCTTCCATGCTGTACGTCTAGCATATAACTTTCCTCAATCAGATGTTTGTAGGAGGACGATTTCCTCAAAAGTGTATACAGCCCATATTTGTACAACCACACGCCCTGAACAATTCACTGGATTGCGCATCAATCCTTCGGTCACAGGCTTAGACTACTGCCATGAAACCATGAATTACTGTGAAGCAATCCAGTTCTGAAACCATGGCGTTAAGTTGCGGACAGCAGTTTAGGCACTAAGCACCTTGCCCTGAGGACAAACTTGAGGAGTTTCCGTCTAACGAATTTCTTACGATGCTGCACCTAAGTTGTCAATGACAAACCTTTTTGACCTTTTTGCTAGTGTAGCCATGCCAAGCAATCTGAGATTCTTTTTGGTCGGTTGATGCAGCAAGCAAGGCAGGAGCTCGGATCGTACTTTACGGCCAAGAAATATGAAAGCTTGCCGATTTGCAAGGAAAAGGCAGTCAAAGACGGTGTGGCTTACCTGGAGACGTTCTATTTTGTTCGTGAGAGAGGCTTGCCTGACGCCAGGTTGTGCAGTTTTGACACTTTTCGTTGCTCCTTGTTGGTGCACCGCTTCAAAAACAGAGAAAGGCCGTTTAGCTAAGCCACCTTTGACCTTTCACGTTTCACGGTCTCTGGCCATGGGTGCTGAGGAGTGTTGGGCATCACTCTGGATGATGCTGCTGCTGATGTTGCGAATCAGCTAAGGGATCGGTGTGCAGAGCTATGCCCCTTGGTGGCATACTTGGCATTTTTATTCCCCAGTTGAGGTTTTGCTGTATGAGAGTCCAAGTCACATATGAGCCCTTGGACTAAAAAAGACATTTTCTCGTGCTGAAAGAGGTCTTAGCATGGAGGAGATGAATGCGATTCGTACTTATGTGGGCAAGAGCTAGAGCAGATCAAAGCACATCAACAAGGACTTCGTCGACCAATCATGATACTCAGGGGCAGGTGTTGAAGCTCCACCCGGCCTCTGGAATTCGGAAGTTCTGAAGGTCGAGCATAGATTTGCTTCAACCACCAGCAGCATCGGTGCAGTTAAAAAGAGGAATGCCGGACGCTCCGTGATTTGACCTTGTTCGAGCCAGTTTCTTTTTTCGCAACCTGGTAAGTGCCTCGCTGTAAAGTTTGAACATGCACGGTTTAACGTTCTGTTGGTCCTCATAAGTGGAGTGTGAACGCAGTTTGTGTTAGTGGAACTTAACGTTGAAAGCATCCTGAATCTTGAAGGAGCGGCAAGGGTAATCTCGACACAGGCTTTTTGTTAGTGACCGGATTTGCAGGCTAGGCTTGTCCTCTCAGGTCTTTTCTGGAAAAGTGATTAACACTCTCACGGCCTATCACCAGTTCTGGCATCATACACATGCCCAACTGAATGAGCCACCGGCAGGGCAGCACTGCGCCACACATGAATCGATTCATTTCCGTTCCGACCGCGCCATCCTGAGACAACAGAGGTCTGAGTCTGAGTGTTTTCCTAGAGGGACATCAGAGTAGCTGCGCTCTGCAAACGTGTGAACCAAGTAAAATTACGTATTAAACCTTCGTGTGTAAGGTGATCTTAGGATGTCCTTGGAGCATCAGTCACCAAGCCGACTCCTATGCACTGTATCTCTGGTTTGGCTGGCTCGAAGCGAAGTACCCGTGGCGGTCAAAGTATCTCCACTTGGCCCTACTCACACCGAACCATGTGAAGCTGCCTACGCTCGGAGGTGGCAGAATGTTGTTGGGGGCTCCTGTGGTGCGGATAGGCGGTTGTTATTTGGACCACGATTTACATTTACATCCCGCTTAAGCATGTTGGAGCTTTCACTGTTGGAGCGTTGATTTTCACTGTTGGATGCAGGTTTGGCCAGTCGGTCCAAAGGTCCTCCACGGATCTTCGGACGAATCTTCGAGGTCAGCTGAGCACCTTCTTCCCCTCCCCCTCCAGCGGAAGAGAGAGCATCCGCGCTGACCGGTGAGGGAGTTTTTTCGTTTCTTTTCGGAGAAGTTCTTCAGGTTGCGGAAGTCGGATGGCCTATAAGTTGTCACATGGCCGGCCAGGTCTTTTTCAAGCCCTGCGCTGCTGTCCCAGTCCTTCATTGGGCTGCTGGGAGGTAGGGCTCTTGGACAGAGATCCGATTTGCAGTTGTGAACCGTGTGCGAATTCTTTTAAGGTTCGATCTTCTTGCTCTCGTGTCATCGCAAAAACCTATATACTTGACTGGCATGTTGACTTGACATGTCTTGACGGCTTCATCCGGCTTCCATTTCTGCATTTCGATGGCTACAGCGTCCTTCGCTTCCATACCGCTCCCATCCACGCGGCGCGAAATGCTCCTGTACCTGGTTGTCGTGGTGCACTTGTGGCTGCCTCTCAGCAGAAGCCAGGAGACAGGGTTTGCCGAAAAAGCTTGTTGGGGGCCTGGGGCATAGGGTCAAGATCATGGACTCCTGGGTTCTATAAGGCGTGAGTAGGGCTCTTCAAGCTGGGGATGGATGGGTTATAGAAGGCTTAAGCAAGGCCCTTTCAAGCTGAGGATGGTTCCGACTCGAGGCCTTCACCTTTTGCAGGAGACCTTCGTTCGAGTTCTTGGAGTAGATGGCACAGGAGATGCGTGGAGAGTGGAAGCCCTTGACCTGTACTCAGACGAAGCCTGTACTTCCAGGCTCGCCATGGGCACGGTCACGAACTACTATGCCACCATGCTCGACTCATCTGGTGCGGAGTCTTACACTTGTCCCTGTTGGGGTGGAGATCATGGCAGCTGCCCCTGCAATGATGCAAGCACCTTAGCCAGTTGTGAGTTTCTCAGTTCCTCCTGCTGCTTTCGGTCCCTATAGTTCGTTTAATGCGTACCGACATGTACATATACCATACCTCACTCCCTATCACTCCCTACCTCACTCCATACCTCAATAATACAATGTACATACTCACATACATACTTATTGTACGAGACTCTTTCAAGCAATGTCGTGCATGGCATCTTTCCGAGGCAATGATTTGGGCACCTGCAACTACTTTGGCCAGTCTTCTTGTACAGATGGTGGCAGTTGCCCCGCCGGCAGATGTGCAGTGGTCTTTCAATTGCCCCACGTCGACTTGAAGTGCATCAGGTTCTACTACAACACCCTGGGCTCATCGAATCGCTTCATGGACACCGTGAACGTGGAATATCGCTCGACCTGCGATGGCCAGTCAGGGCAGTGGGAGAGCCTACGAGACAATGTGGCACTCTCGTGGGGTACTGCTACATCCCAACTCATCACATGGTCCTCGGCTGTGCCTACATGCGCTGACAGTTCGACTACCACTATCACCCATACCGCCACCACCGCCACCACCACTGCCACCACTGCCACACAGACCGGCACCACCACATGCAGTGCTTTCACGTGCCCAGCTGACTACTTGCTGAAGACCAATGC